TTTTTTTTTTTTTTTGAGACAGAGCCTCAAGCTGTCCCCCTGGGTAGAGTGCCATGGCCATGGTATCATCATCATAGCTCACAGCAATCTCAAACTTTTGGGCTCAAGTGCAGGATTTTTCTTTTGTTTTCTCTTCTCTCTCTCTCTCTTTTCTTACTTTCGTTGTTTCTTTCACAGGTCTGACTGTGCTGCCTAGGCAAGAGTGCAGTGTGTACCTCCTACAGGCTAGGCTCAAGCAATCCTCCTGCCTCAGCTGCCTAATGCCTCAGACAATAGATGCTTGCCACTGTGCCTGGCTTCATTCCTTTTTAAGGCTGAATAACATTCCTGTGATTGCTTTTGAAAAAGATCCCTCTGGCAGCTATGTGGAGACTGAATAAAAGACAGGGGCTACAGAAAATGAGGTAGTGAGGCCTGGAAGGGACCTGCCCACCCTGGTAGAAGGAAGAGGAAGTACATCATAAACTTGGAGTAGAAGCAACAGGACTCCACTGCACAGGAAGCCAGTGAATAAAGAAGCAGGCAGGTCACTACTGGTGGGGAATGCAGACCCATCCAGTAAAGTTCTTGGCTGTGGCACTGACCAGCTGCAGGGTCTCGGACAGAGTCTCCTTTTCCTCCTTTGGGAAACTCAGACGAGGATTCCAGGAGGCTAAGCCACTCACTGCTTGGGCACTGGCTCAGAGTGATGGCCAATAAAGAAAGGTCATTGGAGCACTCTGGAGGCCAAGGCAGATGGACTGCTTGAGCTCAGGAGTTCCAGACCAGCCTGACCAAGATTGAAACCTCATCTTTACTAAAAATAGAAAAACTAGCCAGGCGTTGTGCTGGGAACCCATCCAGCTACTCAAGAGGCTGAGGCAGGAGGATCACTTTAGCCCAGGAGCGTGAGGTTGCTGTGAGCTATGACGCCACTGCACTCTACCAAGAGTGACAAAGTGAGACTCTGTCTCAAAAAAATAAAGAAGGGTCACTGTAGCTGTGGCCAGCTTGGGTGTTTATGCCAGGACTGAGAGGAGGACCTGGGAGGTTTCCCAGAGAAGCTGCTTGGGGAAGGACGCTCCTAGAGTTTCTGCCTTCCAGAAGGTGTGGTGTGGGACGGCGGCTGCGATCAGCCAGCAAATGTCCTCCCCTACACCCTGGGATCGCACGCGGGCCCAGACCCTCAGCTCACCGCCTACCTTCCAGGCAGGCTTAAAGCAGGCGCCGGGCCCCACCGAGCGGCCTCAGAGGAAGCGGCGCTACACCAGGACAGATCGGCCCCGGATCTACGCCGCGGGGCGTGGCTGGGGGGTGGGGCTGGGGCGGGCCTGGTATCTCCCGCCCGGAAGCGCGCCGGCGGGAACCCGGGCGCGGAGCACGCTGACGGGCGCTGGGGTGTACGCCCCACGGGAGGCAGGTACTCGCCGGCCGCGGGCGCGTTGGGGGTGGCAGGGGCGTTCACTGCCGGAGGTCGGGACTGTGCGCTGCCTCGACACCCAGGCATCTTGAGCCTGTGTCGGCGCTGCGAATGCCGGGGAAGGGCGAGAATGCTCTCTCCGAGCTTGGGCCCGCGCCCCCCCCCCCACGCGGTCTGAGCCCTCCCTAGCGGAGCGAGGTGTGAACCGGGAAGGGCGGGACAACCCTCCTCCAGGGGTCATGGGTTAGGGTCCGGTCCGCCGCACCCTGGAGCAGCCCAGTGGCTTACACCCCAGGTCCTTGCTCTTACGCTGGGTTCTCTGACCTGTGGGGATACAGTGGTAGGTGGAGGTCGCCCGCCTCCCCTCAAAACTGATGGGCGTGAAGGTTGAAAGTTGACTCAACCCCAGAGCAGGGCAGCAGCCTGGATGACCTGACAGGTGCGGAGTCACTTGCTTCGATTTCCAGAACTAGGACTTGAAGTCTCACTATCCCTGCCTCCAGCAGGTGTCCCTGACAGGGTCTCCCTGCCTGGTGCTCCTTCCAGCCAGGCATATTCCCTACACCCTTTCCAGCAATGATCCAGGCTCCAGGGCTGCAGAGTGACCACAGGGTCTCCCCTCCTCTGTCCAGCCCTGGCCCTGGCCTCAGGGCTCCCCTAGTAGGAAGGGGAGGAAGGTGAGGGATGGGAGGGCTCCCAGGGCTTCCCATCCCCCACTCCTGCGCACTCTTCCCCCTTCCTCTGCAGTCTCCCTGGGCCCTGCCTGATCAGGCCTGCCTGCATGCTAGGACATGTCTGGCCCCTGGGAACTGTCGGTGGATGATGGCTGCAGTGATGAAGGGGCTGGAGCCCGAGACCGCTGCTGCTGCTGCAGAAGATGCTGCCGGAGATGCTGCGGAGGCTGTGGTTGCAGGGCCCGGGGTGCCTGTGCTCCTGGCTGGGAACCGATTGAGCTTCGACCTGTGTGCCGGGGGCTGCCACCAGCTGCTGCACCTGTGTGCCCAGCAGCCCCCTCAGCTGTTGCAGGTGGAGTTCTTGAGATTGAGCACCCACGAGGACCCTCAGCTGCTGGAAGCCACCCTGACCCGGGTGCCTTGGAGTCTGCCCCATCTCTGCTCCCTGGTACTCAAAGGTGAGCCCCACCCATTCCCGACCCTCTCCCTAGCTCTAGCTCTGCCCTGCCACTGCTGGGTCCTCAAAGGCAAACCTTGACCCCAACCCCAGCTCCAGGCCTTGCCTCCCTGTTCCTCAGTATGAACTCTTTGTCCTTCTCCTGGTCCCCATCCTCAGCCCTTTCACTCTCTTTTCCCAAGGTAAGGCTGGCTGTGTCCCGGTTCCTATACCCTGAAGCTGCCTATGGGGTCTTTTGGCAGACCCAGTGTGGATGTTGCTCCCAGGGCAGATCATGGGTGTGGCTATGAGCTGAGATAAACCAGTGGTCCCATCCCTGTTCCCTGCATCTGCTGGCACTCTTCCAATATCTGTCTGTCCCTGTCTAGTGAGAGTGGAAGAGGGAGATCTGTGGCTCTCAAGCAGCTTTTTCTCTGGCTGGATGGCAGGGCCAACCTGGGACCTGAGACCCTGGTTCTGAGGGCCACATCTGCCTCCCCCTCTTCCCAGGAGGGCAGTGCCGGGATGCACTAGGTGCCTGCATTCATGGCGCCCTGACCACTCTGCCTGGTGGCTTGAGTGGCCTGGCCCACCTGGCCCACCTGGACCTCAGCTTCAACAGCCTGGAGACACTGCCAGGCTGTGTCCTGCAGATGCAAGGCTTGGATGCTCTCCTGCTGTCTCACAACCACCTCTCAGAGCTGCCAGGAGCCCTGGGAGCCCTCCCATCCCTCACCTTCCTCACCGTGACACACAATTGCCTTCAAACACTGCCTGCAGCACTGGGGGCCCTTTCTACCCTACAGCGCCTGGATCTCTCTAAGAACCTTCTGGACACTCTGCCCCCAGAGATTGGAGGCCTGAGCAGCCTCAGTGAGCTCAATCTGGCTTCCAACCGGCTGCAGAGCCTCCCAGCCTCCCTTGGTGAGTAGCAGCTGCAGCCCCTGGGTTCATGGGCATCATGAGTAGCTTCCCTCAGCCACTGGCCAAGCTCTGCCTTCAGCTGGGCCCCTACATAGGCTTGGCCTACAGCTGCTTCCTTGGTCACCCTCACAACCCCAGCCCCACGACTCTTGTGCAGTCCTCTGAGCCCTCCCCATGCAGGGCGGCCTGAGACAACTTCTGGAAGGCTGCAGTATGACCATCCTGGTGCTGAGGGCCGGGGGTGGCCCTTAGTGGTCCTTTGCCCACCCTAAGCCAGCGCCTGCCTCCAGCGGGGTTGCGGTCCTTGCGGCTTCTTGTCCTGCACAGCAACCTCCTGGCCTCAGTGCCTGCCGGCTTGGCCCGCCTCCCACTGCTTGCCCGGCTTGACTTGAGGGACAACCAGCTCCGGGACGTGCCCCCTGAGTTACTAGACGCCCCCTTTGTGCGCCTGCAGGGGAACCCTCTGGGCGAGCCCTTGTCAGAATCCTCAAGTCCCCCAGGTAGGCTTGGTGCCAGAGAGGGGCCGGCCGTGATACTACATAGGCACCATCCTGATGACATGTCTGTCCCTTCCACAGGGATATCCCCTGTTCTGGAAATGCCCAGACTATTCCTGACCTCAGATTTGGACAGGTATGGGCTGGGATGAGGGACAGCTGGAGGAATGTCTAGTCTACCAGTCCCCTCGTCCCTGCCCCAGGGCACTAGACTCTGACACAGGCCTTTCTGGGTCTGGTCTGACACCCACCTTTTCCTCACTCAGCTTCCCTGTGACTCCCCAAGGCTGCTCTGTGACCCTAGCCTGTGGTGTTCGCCTGCAGTTCCCAGCAGGGGCCACCACTACTCCTATCACTGTCCACTATCGACTGTTGTTGCCAGAGCCAGGCCTTGTCCACCTGGGTCCTCACGATGCCCTGCTCAGCGGTGTCCTGGAGCTGCAACCCCACAGGGTGGCCTTCCAGCAGGCATGGACGGCTTGGGGCAGGGGGCAGGTGTGGAGGCCCTAGGCTTGGCCTCAGCCTCACAGCACCTTTGCCTGGCAGGATGTGGGCCTCTGGCTATTGTTTGTCCCCCCACGGGCCCGGCGTTGTCGTGAGGTAGTGGTCAGGACATGCACTGACAACAGCTGGGATGATCTGGAGACCCACCTGAAAGAAGAGACACCCAAGGTGAGGCACCCCCCAGGCCTGCAAGGGGTATGCCCCATCTACCCCTGCCTACCCTTCCCCCCACCCCATCTGACAGCTTTGCCCTAACCCCCCTTCTCCTCCCACTCCTCCCATCCCAGAGGCTCTGGGCTCACTGCCAGGTGCCCCACTTCTCCTGGTTCCTTGTGGTTTCACGTCCTGTATCCAATGCCTGTCTGGTGACAACAGAGGGGACGCTGCTGTGCTCTTCTGGTCATCCTGGGGTCAAGGTCACCTTCCCCCCTGGGGCCACGGAGGAGCCTCGTCGAGTTTCCATGCAGGTATGGCCAGTATAGCACAAAAGGTGGCAAGTAGAGCCTTAGGTCACAATTGGGTGCTCAGGCAGTCTCTTTGCCCCAGGTGGTGCACATGGCTGGCCAGGAGCTGCAAGCTCTCCTGGGGGAGCCAGAGGCTGCAGTGAGCCCACTGTTGTGCCTCTCTCAGAGTGGTCCCCCCAACTTCCTCCAACCAGTCACTGTGCAGCTGCCTCTGCCCTCTGGCATCACAGGTGAGAGGTGACTCCATGATGTACCTGGACCTGTGCCCATAACATATGGGGGACAGTGCTTAGGGGGTGAGCCTTAGACTACTGCCTCCTTCTGTCCCCAGGCCTCAGTCTGGACCGCTCTTGCCTGCACCTGTTATACTGGGCGCCCCCTGCAGTTACCTGGGATGACATCACTGCTCAGGTGGTACTGGAGCTCACACACCTGTATGCTCGCTTCCAGGTCACACACTTCTCCTGGTCAGTGTCCACCCAGCTCCCCCAGTCCCTACCCCCACTTTGTACAGCCCCCCTCATCCCCAGCACCCCCAGGTACTGGCTCTGGTATACCACCAAGACCTGCGTAGGAGGCCTGGCACGCAAGGCCTGGGAGCGGCTGCGGCTACACCGTGTGAACCTCATCGCCCTGCAGCGGCGGCGAGACCCTGAGCAGGTCCTCCTACAGTGCCTGCCCCGAAACAAGGTGAGGACTGGTGGGCGCAGGGGGGAGAGGGGGACCAGGAGTCCAGATGGGTATAGGGCTTTGGGCTCTGAGTAGCATGGGTGCCCGTAGGTGGATGCCACCCTTCAGCGGCTGCTAGAGAGGTATCGAGGCCCTGAGCCCTCCGACACTGTGGAGATGTTTGAGGGCGAGAAGTTCTTTGCAGCCTTTGAGCGGGGCATCGACGTAGATGCTGGTAGGCTGCTGGGCCCTGGAGTGGGAGCCTCACAGCTGTCCCCGACCCCTCCGCTGAGCCCATCACCCACCCCCAGATCGCCCAGACTGCGTGGAGGGCAGGATCTGCTTTGTCTTCTACTCTCATCTGAAGAATGTGAAGGAGGTCTATGTGACCACCACGCTGGACAGGGAGGCTCAGGCTGTGCGGGGCCAGGTGGGCCAGTGGGGTAGGGCCCTCAGGGTTGCCTGAGTAGGAGCCAGAGCTCTGAACTCTGCTTGATCCCCCTCAGGTATCTTTCTACCGGGGCACAGTGCCTACACATGTGCCTGAGGAGGCTGAGGCTGCCCGGCAGAAAAAGGGCACCAATGCCCTGTGGATGGCCACTCTGCCCATCAAGTTGCCGGTGGGACTGGGGGCAGTGGGGAGGGATGTGGGTGGGACAGGGGCCCAGGAGTGACTTGGGCAGGGTCTGGGACTCACTGCATTTCCTTCTTCCAACAGAGGCTACGAGGGTCTGAGGGTCCTGGGCGGGGGGCCAGCCCCTCTTTGGCACCTCTGAACCTGGGCGATGCTGAGACTGGTTTCCTGACCCAGAGCAACCTGCTGAGTGTGGCTGGGCGCCTGGGTGTAGACTGGCCAGCTGTGGCCCTGCACCTGGGTGTGCCCTACCGTGAGCTGCAACGCATCCGACACAACTTCCGGTAAGCCTTCTACTGCCCTCCTTGTGCCTGCCTCAGGGCTGGGCCCTGGGTGCCCAGAGGGTCCTACTTGATGCTAGCAGAAGCTTTATCCAGGGGAGTTGGGAGCAGGGCAAACACCAGGCTGGAAAGGAAGGGTCTGGCCACAGCTGGCCCAAGGCTGGGGGAAGTGAGGCCCTGAGTGTGATGGCTGGTCCTGAGCAGGTGGGCAGGGCAGCTCCATCCATAATTCCCCTCCCAGGGATGACCTAGATGGGCAGATACGCCATATGCTCTTCTCCTGGGCTGAACGCCAGTCTGGGCAGCCAGGGGCCGTGGGGCTCCTGGTGCAGGCACTGGAGCAGAGTGACCGGCAGGATGTGGCTGAAGAGGTTCGGGCAGTCTTGGAGCTTGGCCGCCGCAAATACCAAGATGGCATCCGACGCACAGGCTTGGCTCCCGAGGACCCTGCTCTGCCCGGTCCATTGGTTCCACAGTCCCCAGAGCCTGCCCAGGACTAGGCCCCACAGACTTTGGGCTGGTCCTGGATATGCCCTGGCTAATTGTCAAAAACCCCCACCTTCAAACCTCATTAGTGTGTGGGGACAGCATCCCCCATGGGCAACAAACCTGCACTTTCTCCTGTGTCCTGTCTCAAAGCTTGGTTTATTTGCTGATGGAGAGACTGGAGGGAGGCCCAGCCTGCAGGCAGACTTCCTGCAGCCCTGGCTCCTGCCTCCCTTCTCACCATGCCTGGGACCTCCTTTTGGTCCTGTTCTTCCCGGGAAGGGGGAGGAGCTGGTGCTACTAAGTAGCTGTGAGTGAGCGGCAGCGTGGGTGGATACAAAGTCACCTGGGCCGCTGACGTGCGCCTCCACTTAGGCCACCAGCACTTGGCTGGCTGTTTCCACTCAGCACCTAGGGTCTGCCCTAGAGACCCCCACCTCCCCAGGACACCATGTCCACCTGCTCCCTTTCACATGTCTCCAGGACCCGGAGACCAAAGAAGGGCCCTGGGAACCCAGGCTTGGTCTCTGCACCTTGCGCAGGTCCCCCGCCCTGCGGCCCCACAGACTTGGTCTCGGGTCACTGAGTGCGGGTGGGCGCCGGGCTGTGCCTGGCCGGGCGCAGTAGCCGTGGCGGCCGGGAGGGGGAGCCGAAGCCCGGGCCAGGGGCGGAGCGCGCGCGGCGCCGAGCGGACGCGCCTCCCCGCCTAGGTGCTGGCTGGGCGCGCGGCACGGCGGGGAGGCGAGCGCGGCGGCGGCGGCAGAACGCGGTGAGTGCCCACCTGGCGGCTCCCTTCTGCTGTGCTCACCGGAGCGGCCAACCTACGGGGCCGAGGGGTGCCGCGGCGGCCCGGGGAGGTGACGGCTGCCCGGATAGAGTAGCTTCGGCGGGGCCCGGACCGACAGATGCTCCAACCCGCTGCTGCCCGGGTGTGGGAGGCCGTGCTCGGCCCCGGTGGTGCCGAGCGCGCTCCCCGCGTACACGTGTCCCCGCGGGTGGGTGCCGGGGCCCTAGGAGGAGAGAAGCCAGACTGTGGGGGCCGCACACGTGGGGCCTCATCGGACATGTATGGACACGTGCATGGCCAGAGTCGCGGTCCCCACGCCGGGGACAGCACGGCAAGTTGAGCCCCAACAGGGCGGCCTTGGAGCAGAGGGAGCGGCCCCCAATCTGCTTCCTCTTTGTCCACCAAGGCGGCACTGCTTAGTTAAAGAGACCCTGGGACCCTCCAGCCAGCGGGACTAAAAGCACCGCTCCAAGAGGAAGGAGACTGGGGGTTCGGGTGGGGCTTGGGGAGCCAATCCCAGACTCTGGCCTCACCCCCATCACCTTTCTTGGAGGAGGAGCTGGGCGGCCTCAGTGTGGGAGATTTTAATCCTGCAGGTTAGGGAGCAGCAGTGAGGTGGTCCCTGTGGGTTCTTCTGCTCTCTCCCTAGCCTGCCTGTGGCCTCAATTTACCTGAATAGGAGAAGGCACAGTGAGCACTACCCTGGGGCCTCAGAGGCATGGCTGCAGGTTTCTATGACAACATCTGCGCAGGGTGGGGGGGCCCTAGCCGGCTATCTCATAGCAAGGGGTAGGTGCTGCCCTGTGAGGATGGGAAAAAGGAGTTCAGGGCCTAGAGGTCCCCCTGCCCATTTTTGCCAAGGCATGCCCCTGTCAGTCCTCAGCCAAGCTGCTGTTCTGGCCTGCAGTGTGTGGCATGGAACCTCTAGGCCTGCATCTCTCTTTCTGAGATCAGTATTCTTTTCCCTACCTGGGATGGTCTGTGTAACCTGGGCGGCCCCCTCATCCTAAACAGGAGGCAGGGTCTGGAGAGGAGGGGTTTGCTCAGAAAGGCAGGACTCAGTTTCTGCAGGCCAGGGGTGACCCCAGGCGGCAGAGAGCTGTGTGGCCAGTCTACACCTGGAGAATGGGGTGGTGAGTGGTGCTCATAGGTCAGGTAGACGTTCAGAGGTCAGTTGGTCCTTTACCACTGGCTGCGGCAGGGAGAGGTGAAGCCTTGGGTGTGGTGGGTGGTGGAGGCATAGGGTTCTAGGAGTGCCAGCTCCCATGCCCTCTGGACCTACCAGCTGATCAGGGCCTGTGGGTGCACCCAGTGGCCTCTAGGACCCAGCGACCTTTTCTCAGTCCTTTCTAGTCTGGACAAACATACCTTTTTGCGCCCTAGCTTGAGGTTCTTTTGATAAGTACTTGCCTGTAACGTACACAGAGGTCCCACAGAACATGAGTGTCAGCCCATCTTTGCCCACAGCACCGGATTCCCCATGCAGGTACATACAAAGTGCCTGGACACAGAAAGAGTCCCACCCAAACGGTGTCAGGCTGCAGACCGGAATCCACCAGGTGGCTGGGGTCTCAGTGTATGTGTGGGGGTCTGGCCTTGCTGCAGCAGCCTACGTCAGACCCATTCCCCAGCCCCACTCCCTGGTGCTCAAGGCTGTGCCCTGTCCCCCTGAAACTGTCTCACCCACTCTCCCAGAGCTGCAGGAGGCCCCAGCTTGCCCAAAGTGAAAGAGAAAGTCGCCGCCCCTCAGGCCCGCCCCGCCCAGCCCTGTGGCCAATCCCGGGCGTCTCACCTCCTACCAGCAGCTTCGCTGCCTCCTGAGCCGGTTGCTGGAGTCCTGGAGAAGCCTGGTCCTGAGTACCTGGGGTGAGCAGGACCAGAAAGCAGGGCGGTGGCAGGGAGCCCCTGGAAAGCCAAGGTGAAGGTCACAGGTCCTCCAGGAGACCATAGGCAGGAGCGAACTGTGTGACCCTGCTGCGGGTATGAGCCTGTGACAGCTAGCCTGTGAGGGGTTGCGAGGAGGGGGCGCATGGGGACCAGGACTCAGGGAGACCCCCCACTCATTTTTTATGGCTGTACCCCATGGGAGGCCCTTGGGCCTGGCTCTGACTCCACAGCCCTACCCCTACTAGGAGAGTCCCCTTCTTCCCTCACCCTGTAGTAGATGGGGGTGCCAACCACAGGGGCTTCAGAAGGTCAGCCATCCCCACACACTCCTGAAGCTCTGCTAGATCCCTGTGGTCTGTGTGAGTGAGGCTGGTGGGGTATGAGGGAGAGGGTGGAGATGGGCAGAGGGCAGTGGTGGGTTTGGTGCTTCTCTGTGGGGAAGTCTCTGCAGGTCTGGAGTGGGGCTAGGTCCATCTGGGCAGCTGAGAACTGAGCCCAGAAGGTGGGGGACCTTGGATCATCTAGGAGAAGCCAGTGAGGAAACTCAAGCCCCCATCTGAAGAGGGCAGGTGCGGTTACCCCTGCCTGAGGAAGGGGGGATGGTCACCCCAGCCCAGCCCAGGGTCGAAGTGCTCCAGCAGGCCACCTGCCCCTGCGCTGCCCCCCAGTGGCACCTGGCCCTTTAATAGCCTGAGCTCTCTGGGTGCACGTGAGCATGAGCAAGTGCAAGCTGGGAGGAGCTGGTGGGGGGGCTTGAGGGGAAAAGGGGTGGTCCCTGGGATGTGGGGGGTGGCAGGCGACTCATGCACCAGTCAGAGATGGCTCTAGTCTGCAGCCAGGGTCTGGAGGCTTATTCTGGTTTGCCTTATCCTCCACTGATTGCTGTCCCTCACCTTCCACAACAGAAGTGGTGGCTGAGCCTGGAAATTCCCTGGAAGGTGGAGGATCAATCCCACCCTCCATCTGCACTACCTCCCCCAACACTACCTGTATCGACACTGTCTGGCTCTTACCTGGGGATCAAGTTAAATGGCTGATAAGCAGATCAGGTTGGACTTCAGTCTTGGTTGCATACCTGTTCCCCACCCCTGACCTATGGTCCAGGAAGCAGATCCTGACCATCCCCCTCCCCACCTGCCCATAGCCTGCCAGCCAAGCTCATCAATGGTGGCATCGCTGGATTGATCGGGGTCACCTGTGTGTTCCCCATTGACCTGGCTAAGACGAGGCTGCAGAACCAGCAGAATGGCCAGCGCATGTACACCAGCATGTGAGAGTGCTCATGTGATGTGGGGGTGGGGTGAGGCTTATACCTCTGAGCTATCCTCCTATCCCCCCCCACCCCATGAGACTAAAGGAGACACGCAAGGCAGGGGAGTCCTGGGAGAGACTCAGAGACCATCATGCCTGAGGTCACTGCTAAAGCTTAGGACTTGGCCTCTTCTGTCAGCCCTGGACAATCCAGAGACCTCAGGCCCCTGGTAGGGAAAGAGCTGACCTCCATCTGCACTGAGGAATGGGAATGGCCACACTGGTCCCCAACTCACCCTATCCCCTTGACTGCAGGTCTGACTGTCTCATCAAGACCATCCGCTCCGAGGGCTACTTTGGCATGTACCGGGGTGAGGCTCTGGAGGGGGCAGGTCTGGGTAGCAGCCACGAGAAGCCTCACTGGGGAGGCAAGTGGGGGCGTGCAGTAGCAGGGCAGCCAGCCTGAGCCTGCTGTGTAAGTGTGAATGTGTCTAGTGGTGGCTGGCTGCACCCTTGCCGAAAGTCTGGGCTGCATCTCCGGGTGGGTGGCATGCTCTCTCCATCCCCACTAATGCCAGTGCTTGGTGTGGTTGGGTACTGCAGAGGGTCTATGTTTCATTGGTGGCTACAGCCTCCTTCCTTGCCTTCTGGGATAGGCAGTACCCATCTGTGCCTGGCGGGGGGGAGGGGCATCACTGCAAAGCAGCTTAGCAAACAATCTGCAAGCCTGGATCTGGCCAGAAGCTGCACAGCCCTGAGCCCTCAGTGCTGAGATAGGGGCTCTCCACAGGCTCCCCTGAGCACTGACCCACACTTAGACACCTCCCTCTGTCCCCCCTTCCCCTACAAATACCTCCTGTCCCCTGGGGAAGACCACCCAAGGACTCCGGGGTTCTGATCCCCACTGGCTTGGTAGCTAGGTGAGACCTGTTTCCCTGGAATCAGAGACAGATGGAGGCAGAGTAGGAGGATTATGCAGGGGGGACGGGGAGGAGAGAGGGCCTGGAGGAGGCGGAGGCATTGCCCCTGTCCCCGCCCTGCCTGGCACAAACTAGGGCCCAAATGTGGGTGAGAGGGCAGGAGGCAGCAGCCAGGCAGTGACTGGGGAAACAAGTGCTAGCTGGAAGCTAGGGTCTGGAGCCAAGCCACTGAGTACATGTACCCCAACTGACCTGCCTGTGTCACCCCAATGTCCCACCTGACCCCTGTGTGCCCCAACAGGAGCTGCTGTGAACCTGACCCTTGTCACCCCCGAGAAGGCCATCAAGCTGGCAGCCAATGACTTCTTCCGCCATCAGCTCTCTAAGGACGGGTCAGGGGCTTAACTCGCCTGAATGCTGGGCCCAGGCCATGGGGGGGGCGGGGCCTGTGGTAAACACCTGGGTGGTCCTGCCTTGGGCTCCAGACACCCACTGGCTCCTACCTGGGGCCTCTGCCCACACTCAGGCCCCTGGCTTAGGCTTCCACCCACCTGCTCCTCTCCTGGGGAGGGGCAGAGCAGGTGCTGAGTGGGCTTTGGTCCCAGCAGTCCTTGGCCTTCATACACTGCCCACCATCCTATGACGTAGCCCAAGATGTGACCCACTATTTTCTCCATCACTTGAGAGCAGGGCATTCAGGACTCTACAATTCTTTTTTCTTGGTGGGAAGACAGCCCCACTTCCCTTCTCAGGCCCTTGCCTGTTGGGCCATCTGTCCATGAGGTTGGTGGTTGCCTATTGCCAGAGGACCTAAGTCTCCATGGTCTATGCTGTACCCCCATAGTGCTGTGTCTGCCTCTACCTTCCCATCCTCCTCTGCACCCAGACATGGCAGTTGGGAGGTTCCTGTCTCTCCCATCTCACCATGGTGCCTGCCCCACCCCAGGCAGAAGCTGACCCTACTTAAGGAGATGCTGGCTGGCTGTGGGGCTGGCACCTGCCAGGTGATCGTAACCACCCCCATGGAAATGCTGAAGATCCAGCTGCAGGATGCAGGCCGCATCGGTGAGGGCAGAGGCTGGGCCGGGGCAAGGGCTGGACCCCACTCTACCCCTGCCGCTGCCTCACCCCAGGAGGGAGACATAGTAGCCTATTTTTCCACAGCTGCCCAGAAGAAGATCCTGGCTGCTCACGGTCAGCTGTCGGCTCAGGGGGGCACCCAGGCCTCTGTAGAGGCTCCAACCACTCCCCGGCCAACGGCCACCCAGCTGACCCGAGACCTGCTGCGGAGCCATGGCATTGCCGGCCTCTACAAGGGACTTGGGGCCACGCTGCTCAGGTGGGAAGTATGGGAGGGCAGGAGGAGGCTGGCCTGCCCGCCCAGCACCTGCCATTCTCCATGGCCACCTCCCTCCCCACAGGGATGTCCCCTTCTCCATTGTCTACTTCCCTTTGTTTGCCAACCTGAACCAGCTGGGCCGTCCAGCGTCTGAGGAGAAGTCACCCTTCTACGTGTCCTTCCTAGCTGGTTGTGTGGCAGGGAGTACAGCCGCCGTGGCTGTCAACCCCTGTGATGGTCAGTGCACCTGTCTGGGCTCAGGTTGGGGGTGGGAGCCGAGGAGATGGGCAGTGAGTGGGGGCTCACACATTGACCCACGTGTGCCCTGCAGTGGTGAAGACACGGCTGCAGTCACTTCAGCGTGGCATCAACGAGGACACCTATTCGGGGTTTCTGGACTGTGCCAGGTGGGTGGGGTCCCCAGTGTGGGGGCAGGGGAGCTGGGCCCCAGTTCTGATCCTCCTCTGCTCCACAGGAAGATCCTGCGGCATGAGGGCCCCTCTGCCTTCCTAAAGGGTGCCTACTGCCGTGCCCTGGTCATCGCGCCGCTCTTTGGCATCGCCCAGGTGGTCTACTTCCTGGGCATTGCGGAGTCCCTACTGGGGCTGCTGCAGGACACCAGGGCCTGAGCCTGCACCTGCTGTAACCTGGCCAGCCGGGCAGGGTCAGCGTGAAGCCAGGCAGGATGGCCTGCCCAGGACTGAGGGGAGACCTTCCTAGCCTTCCCCTATCGGCGGGGGGGCATGCAGGGTCCATGTGGGTGGTGTGCACGAGGCCTTGGTGGAGCCCTGCCTGCACCATTGGGATCAATGTCTTATTTATGTAGAAAATGCAGAAATCTTTACATTCCTCAAGCCAGCCTCTGTCCTAATCCTGCCTTGGCCTGAACACTCCCAGGGACAGAGCTGGTCTCTGGGCTGGGGGCCCAGGGCCTTGGCTGGGCAGGCTGAACCTTCCCTAGGTCACTGTCTCTGAGGCTGTCCTGGTCCACAAAGGGGACCTGCACACATCTATTTATTGATCCTGCAGTGCCCAACTGGCTTTCCAGTCCTTTCCGTCCACCCTCCTGCTTCTCTTCCTGCCTTGGCAGGCTCTGACTGCCTCCCTCCAGCCTTGCAGAAGGCCTGGTGGTCTTTTGCCCCCATGTTGAGGTGGAAATCCCAAGCAAGGGGCTATACTGAGGTCTGACTCCTAAGGCAAGCCCATCACACTGTAGAACTTTCTGGCAGGCCCCTCAGCCCCAGCCCAGTGGAAGCTCACATGCATTGTGTGGGTCTATGTATGTGCACCTCAAAAGGACCAGGTTATGACCCCCTGCCCTCCATGGGCTTTGCCCCTCAGGGATGGGGCTGTGGGGGGCTCTGCCCTTCCCCACTGGCCAGGCACCTGCTGTGCCTATGTGCTGGGCACACCCAGTCTCTCTGCTGACCCCGTCCAGAACTTGATTACTGCAGCCTAGCCCCTCTTGCTGCACCTCTGAGACCCCCACCTTGTGTGAGATTAGCCAGGGTGAAGGGCAGGCATGAGGACCAATATTGAGTCTGGGGGCACCTACCCTGCTTGGGCGGGCAGGAACTGCCCCCAGTCCTCCAAAGGCTTGCCCTCCTCTCTGAGCCTCTACATCAGGCCCCTGACCACACTCCAAAGCTCCGTCCTCAGCACCCTGGCCCATCAGTGTCAGTGACACAGACTTTCCCTCCCCATCCCCTGGCCATGTGATCGTGTTAGTGATTGATCCTGACAGTGCTGGTGCTGTGTCCCCCAAACCAGGCCTCTCTACAGAGGCTCCTACCCAGTGACACTACCTGGGGCTCAGGCCTGGGCCCCCCAGCTCACGGTTGTTCCTGGGAGTTGCCCCCTCCCATCACATGTGTACCTTGGAAGCTGCTGCTGCTTACAGAATTATATTTTTTTCTTTTGAAGAGTTTTAAGAGTTGTAACTTTTTGTGTCTTGTCATGTAAGAGAATAAATAAATATTCTAAGTAGATGCCTCCTCTTTGGGACTCTGGGGGTGGAGGGAACAGACCCATCTTCCAGTAAACAACTGCCCTCCGGAAGCAGGGCCTAGGCCCACCGCCACCAAGGGGCCCTGGATGAGGTGGGGGAAGGCAGCCTCAGGCCCTCTCCAGCTTCCCCTCCCAGACCTGGGGCGGGCGTGCCCAGGCGAGCAGGGCGGGGCTTGATGCTTCCTGCACCAGAGCAGTGCACTGTGGGAAACTCCGGGCTCCGTGTCGGTCCGCAGCCACCACCCGCTGCCGTCCCGCCGGAGGAAGCGCGAGGCAGGAGGTCCAAAAGACCGCATAAGAAGGAGAACGTAAGGCAGCGAGGCCTGGGCTGGCGGGGCGGGGGGGGGCGGGTCAGGTTTTAGGGGGCAAAGCAGTGGTTCCCTACCTAGCCTTGAAGGTCACCGGAATGAGGGGCCTCTTACCCCTCTCCGTGACACAGCGGCTCTGGGAAGAGGAAGGAGGCACAGGGATTGGGGAGGTCAACATTGTGTGAACCAAAAATAGAGGGGGGAAGTGTGACCACCTGGCCTTTGCAGACTTGACTACCCGCAGCTGGGACCCCCTCCAGAACTGCAGGGGTGAAGAGGCCGCTGGGGTTCCCTGAGAATCAGCTGGGCCTCTCACCAGGACACCTCTATCCCGGTGTGACCTTCCAGCGACCTTCAGGGTGGTCAGTGCACCTGGTCTGGCATGGGGAATATAGACTGAAACATAGGCTTCAGCCTCGGAAGCAGGCTTCCTCCCCCTGTGGGGGTTTCTCAGTGGGTAGTAACAGGTCTTCAGGGTTAGTGCCCCAGCACTCTCCCCTCCCCCTCCTGGGATGCTGAGACTCAAGCACCACCCAGCCAGCAAGGTGTGTGGCCACCTAGGCCCAGGCCAGGGACCCTTTTTGCTCACAGTGGTGAGCACAGCCTTGGGCCCTGAAAGGACTCCCACTGGGGCTGGGGAGTGGTGCCAAGGTTAGGGAGGTGCAGATAGCTGAGGAAGTGGCCTAGGGATGCCTGGCTTCTGCAGCCTCCTGGGAGATGCCGGTTTTATCACATCTGGGTCCTTCTGGTCATGGTGGCCTTGGGCCCATGCCCATCCCTGCAGCCACCTGAGAGCCTAGACCCTTGCTGCCCTCCCCTGCTCCTCCTCCTGTTAGACCTGGGCCAGGTCACAACCCTAGGCAGGAGTCTTAGCATCCACCTCTGTGAAACAAGAGCTCTCCAGAGAAGGGCGCATTGTCAGTTCTCCCCATTGTGGCTCTGCTCACCTCCCTGTGACTGAATGCTCCTCTCCAGTCCTCAGGGCCACCCTACTCCAGACAAGCACATGCCTGGGGAAGACTGTTTTACAGATGAGAAAACTGAGGCTGCTGGCTGGCCCACAGCCTCTAAGCCTGTGACTGGAAGGGCTTCTTGGGCAGTTGCTGCCCACAGATGATGGCCAGGCCCTGTAGATAAGGGTCTGAGGCCCACAGAAGGCTCCTGGGAGTCCAGAGAACTGGGCAGGTGGAGATGGAGTCAAGGTAGTTCAGGCTGGACAAATGGGGTCCTCAGCCTTTGCCACAGCCTCGCTTGTATCACCCTCCAGGCGTATATAATGCTCAGGGGTGAGCTGTCCTGAGCTACTATAGTCCAGCGACCAGCCTGTCCCACAGGCCTGCACCCAGCCTGCCAACACCACCCACCATGGAGTCCAGAGGGAAGTCAGCCAGCAGCCCCAAGCCCGAAACCAAGGTGCCCCAGACCACTGCCGAGGCCAAGTTCTCCCCGGCTCCTGATGGGAAACCCCCCTCAACCAAGCCTGCGAAAAAGGAGGCCCCAGCAGAGAAACAAGAGCAGATGGCAGCCCCCAAGAAGACCACAGCCAAGGCAGACCCCGCCCTTCTCAACAACCACAGCAACCTGAAACCTGCCCCCACGGCCCCCACAGGGGGCACTGGCAGTCCTGATGCAACCCCAGAGCCCAAGGGTCCTGGGGATGGAGCAGAAGAGAATGAGGCTGTCAACGGGGGCCCTGGGGGTGCTGGGGGCCGAGGTCCCTGGCCATGTGAGAACTTGAACCTTCTACTGGTGGCTGGCGGGGTGGCTGTGGCAGCCATAGCCCTGATTCTTGGTGTGGCCTTCCTGACCCGGAAAAAATAATGCCTGGTGGCCAGGTGGGGGCACAGAGCCACTCTTGTACAGGCCCAAGGAAGCTAGTGCATGCAAAGTCACCCCTACCCATCCACACATACGCACATCCCTTATAGAAATCCATCTGTCCCACATGTACAATGGAGAGGGACGCTGAGCCCACCCCTGTGGGCACAGCTCTGGGGGCTATGGGGCAGGACAGGGTAGAGCTCCAGCATCAGGCAAAGGGCAGGGTCCTCAAAGTCCTGTGTGTGTCCATGTGTGTCTGTCCTGAGGCCCCAGTGATTCTGGGGACCTTTCCAGCAGCGGCACCCAGGAGGAGCCCACCCCCAGGCTGGTCTCTGAAGTGGGGGTGGGGAGTGCGGGAATGGGTTCTGCCTCAGTCCCGCCCTCATGGGACATTAAAGGGTGAGGTAACTCCACTGTCCCCATTTCTGCTTTTTCTGTGCCCCTGGAGGCGGGGCGGGGGGTGTCTGTGGGCCAATGCTGTGGGTCTGGCCATAGGTTGGTGATCACCTTGGCAGAACCTTGGTGTCCTCCACCCACCACTGGCGCCCTGGCTGGAGGAAAGACAGTGGGAGGCCGGTCCTGGAGGCCCAGAGCTCCTCTTTCCCAGATTATGGTCCAGGACACCACCTGGTCCTGGAACCTGGGAGACCTCCCCAGAGCCTTGACCATCCCATAGCTTCTGAGGGCCTGAAGGTGGGGCAATTGGGAAAGGCCCTGTCCTGTGGCTGTGCCTGCCCAAGGCCCCCAGAATGCCCTCTCCCACCTGTACCCAGCATTCTCTGAGTCCAACAAGCGTATAAATGCAATAAAGGTAGAGTAGAGTCGCTGGGGGTGACCGTCGCACACCACCCACCGCCCCGTAGTGCCTGTAGGGAGCCTCCCACACAGCCCTCTTTTAACACATCTGGCCCCAGCTTCACCCTGGGCATGATGGTAGCAGGAATGCTCCTGGAAGGTGGTGGTGGGCACTGTGAGAGCAGGACCTACCCTTACCTGGCCAGTGGCCACAGGAACCCTGGCCTGAGTGGAGGCTGAGTCTGAAATAAACTCTGTTGTCTAAAGGCTGGGCTTGTGTCCTCACCTGCATGTGGCCGGAGGAGGCATGGGCGGGGGTGTCAAAAGTCCACATCCCCAGGCTTTCTGGCTTGCCCCGACACCCACCACCTCCATGCCCTTGATCTTGGTGGGCTCTACCAACGGCTCCCTCAGATTCTACTCCATCCTAGATGCCTCCTTGGCCTTCCTGGGCACTGTGACCATGGATGGACACCCAGGGGCTACAGGACCCACCTCGGGCTTGGGCTATTGGCCACCATACGTGAGCAGGGGCAGTCAGGATGGGCTAAAGGGAGGTGCTCCCTCAATGACCCCTTTCTCAGTCCCCTCTGCACTGAGTTCCCCACTCCTGGAGGGGCAGAAGAGGCAGTGACTGGTCACCTTTCATCCAAGGCTATTGAGAGGGCCTGGGAAAAATAAGGCCAAGGGGCGCCTTTGATGTCTGTCATCTTGGGGCCTTGATCCTACCACAGGGGCAGCTGTAGTCAGCAGTTCTAAAGGCCAGTGGCGTACAGCCACCCTTCCCTTCAACTTTCCTGGGTACCATGCCTGCCAGAGCCTCAGTTCCTGTTTGTGGACCCATATTTCAGGCCTAGAACATTAAGGATAGCCCAGAGGCGCCTGTGGCTCAAGGAGTAGGGCACTGGCCCCATATACCAGAGGTGGTGGGTTCAAACCCAACCCCAGCTAAAAACTGCAACAAAAACCAATATGGACAGCCCCATGGAGTATAAACATCCTGGGTGGACCCTCCTGCCACTGCCCAGACTGCTCTCCTGGTCCCATGCAGGGGAAGCTGCTGAGGAGATGTTGCCCACACCTACAGCTCCCAGCATACTTGCCCACCTGCCCACAGGTGCCAGGACCACCTCCCTGCTGCCTGGTCTTGCCCTCTAGTGCCCAATCCCATTCTCTCCATTCTGTGACTTGTACATTAAAAGAAAGAAACCCAGACCAGGTGCAGTGGCTCATACCTGTAATCTCAGCACTTTGGGAGGCTGAGGTAAGCGGATCCTCTGAGTCCACAGGTTGAAGACCAACCTGAGCCAGAGTGAGACCCCCCTCTCTAAAAATAGCCAGGCATTGTGGCAGGTGCCTGTAGTCCCAGCTACTCAGGGGGCTGAGGCAAGAGAACTGCTTGAGCCCCAGAGTTTGAGGTTGCTGTGAGCTATGACGTCAGGGTGTGAGACTCTGTCTCAAAAAAATAAAAAAGCTACCATGTTAGCCATTTTCTTTCTTTCCTTCTTTCTTTCTTTTTTTTTTTAGACAGTCTCAAGCTGTGGTCCTGGGTAGAGTGCTGTGGCATCACAGCTCAAAGCAACCTCAAACTCTTGGGCTCAAGTGATCCTCTTGTCTCAGCCTCCCAAGGAGCTGGGACTACAGGTGCCTGCCACAATGCCTGGCTACTTTTTTGTTGCAGTTGTCATTGTTGTTTAGCTAGCCCGGGTGGGTTTGAATTCACCAGCCTTGATCGGTGTAGGTGGCCAATGCCCTACCTACTGAGCTACAGGCACGCCCATGTTAGTGCATAGTTCAGTGGCACTAAGTTCATTCATAATGTTGTGCAGCTGTAACCACCCGCCATCTCCAGACCTTTCTCATCATTCCAAACAGAAGCTCTGTCCCCATGAAACACCAGCACCTGCCTCTGCAGTCCCCAGTATCCCCGTCCACTCTGTCTCTGTCAAAATCTGATAACTGTAGGACCTCCAATCAGGGATCACAGGGCACCTGTCCTCCATGGACTGGCTGTCTCCTGTTCAGCAAGTGTCTCCAAGGCTCATCTGTGTGGCGGCACAAGTCAGACCCTTTCGTTTTGTTGTGGTTTTTTTTTAAGCGATAGGATCTCACAAGTCTCCCTCTGTCACCCAGGCTGGAGTGCAGTGGCAACATCAAAGTTCACTACAACCTTAAACTTCTGGGTTCAATGGATCCAATCCTCCTGCTTCAGCCTCCTGACCAGCTGGGAGCACAGGCATCACAACCAGCTGTTTTGATAGAGATGGGGGTTTCATCTTGCTATGTTGCTCAGGATGGTCTCAGCTCCTGGGTTCAAGCCATCTCCCCACTCACCCGCCCAAAGTGCTGCCCACAGGCATGCGCCCACAGGCATGCGCCACACCATCCAGCCCCTGTTATGCTGGATTTGCCAAGCCCTTTCTTCAGCCTCTTGGCTTCCTCTGACTCTGGAGGTGGGTGTGCCTGGACCTGCTTAGCACAGAGCGTGAGGCATCCGTGAGGGAGACCCCAGGGTGGATGGAAAGAATCAACTTCTGGCCTCTAGAGTCTATAGACTTGTATGTTCAAGATGCCTCAAAAACACCAGCAAGTTTAGAGCAATTGTCAGCTGAAGGCTGTTCACCACACTGCCATAAGGGAGTCATGATCAGGGGCAGTGGCAGTGCCTCTGTGGGCTGTCTGGGCACTTAAAGCACTTTCACCTTGCTGAAGACAATGGCTTACAGTTCATGTGGGCAACTTCACCTTTGTTCCAGATACTTTTCGGCAATGTTGTCTTAAAGCCCAGCAAGGGTTTGGGGTGGTGGCTCACATCTGTAATTTTGGCACTCTAGGAGGCCAAGGCGAGTGGATCGCTTGAGCCCAGGAGTTCCAGACCAGCCTGAGCAAGAGCGAGACCCCATTTCTAAAAAAATAGCCAAGCGTGTGGCAGGTGCCTATAGTCCCAGCTACTTGGGAGGCTGAGGCAAGAGAATTGCTTGAGCCCAAGAATTTGAGGGTGCTGTGAGCTATGATGCCATAGCTCTACTGAGGATGACAAAGTGAGACTTTGTCTCAGGGAAAAAAAAGGGGTTTTTTTTTGGTTTATTTTTTGTGAGACAGAGTTTCACTTTGTCACCCTGGTAGAGTGCTTGGCATCACAGCTCACAGCAACCTCAAACTCTGAGGCTCAAGTGATCCTCATGTCTCAACCTCCCCAATAACTGGGACTACAGGTACTCTCTATAATGCAGGGCTAATTTTTCTGTTTTAGTAGAGACAGGATTTCACTCTTGCTCAGGTCTTGGAACTCCTGAGCTCCAGGGATCCTCTAGCCTCGGCCTCCCGGAGTGCTAGGATTATAGGTGTCCTCACCACTACTGCCCTATAGGTGGGTTTAAAGATTCTTCAGCTGACATTTGGCTAAAAGAATTAGACTTTGTTTAAAAGACCAGGAGTCAGAGAAAAGGAATGCTGAGATAAGGTCTGTTAATCAGAGACAAACTATGGAAATTGACCAGACCTAGGTGGTTTGTTTTGTGTATTGAGGACCTTGCATAGCCCCAGGCCTGGTAATGAGTCTTGAAGAACGTCTAAGAAGGGAGAGTGGCCTGACAAGGCCTATCTGACCTTTCTCTTAGCCAGCAACTCAGTTTTAGGAGATCCCTTGCCCAAGAAGGGGGTTCAGTCAGTCAGTCGCTGGGATAGGGCTCATGATTTTAGTTTAGTTCACAGATCTCACTGGAAATAAACACTGTAATTACATCTGTAATCAAAACTACTAGATATAAGCAATGACTCTAAAGGCAGGCACAGTGGCTCACACCTCTAATCCTAGCACTTTGAGAAGCCAAGGCACGTGGATTACTTGAGCTCAGGAGTTTGAGCCTGAGCAAGAGAAAGACCCTGTCTCTCTCTCTCTCACTTTTTTTCTTTGAGGCAGTCTCAAGCTGTCGCCCTGAATAGAGTGTCATGGTGTCATCATAACTCATAGCAACCTCCAACCCTTGGGCTCAAGCAAGGCTCTCGTCTCAGTTTTTTAATTTTGAGTAGAGACAGGGTTTCACTTTTGCTCAGGCTGAACTCATGAGCTCAAACAATCCACCCGCCTCTGCCTCCCAGAGTGCTGGGATTACAGGCGTGAGTCACCATGCACTGAACGTTGCTGGGCCAGGACCCTGACGATTGGTGACTTAATAAGTATAAACTTTGCACTTGCCTTTCTG